TCAAGGGAAGGAGCCTTGATTTGCACAGACACTCCATACCACTTATTCAATAACCGACGATTACTAGAAAATTACATTTTGCCAAGTAATAATGGTTATTTCCCAACCTGCCTCCGAAAAAAATGGGTTAGTTACTATCACAAATTCTTATGCTGTATTTCTGGTTAAGACTCTATTTAAAAGCTTTTTCTATAGCTTGACATGGACGTAGAGTTAAAGTTCCCGAAAGCCTTTCTGGCTGTGCTGTTCAGTGGGCCTTCCTAGCTGGGCAGCCAGTAGATGAGGATTTGCGCTCTGCAGCCAGCCAGCCTTCCCTGGTGCCTCCAGGACCTGCTGGGGAGGGAAGACACCGAAGTTACCAATATGGAGAGATAAAAGAAAAATGTGGAGCTGGTGGGCGTTTGCATCCCTAGTCCCTTGATTGGCCGTGGACTCCGGTGTTCCCTTTCTCCCTGAAATGCTTACTCCACTCCCTTGACCGGAACCTGCTAAACTCCTGTTCCTTCTCTTACCGTCTTACCTTATTGCTCTCTTCTGTAATCTGTTTGTGTTCACCACAAGCCTAGACTGCTCTCCCTCAGTTTTCCCTACTTCATTCCTTAATCGTCCTGCTCTGCTTTGCATTTCGTGTCTAAAATATTTTTCCAATAACTCCCAGGTCTTCAAAGTAGTCTGTTTTACTCATCACTTTGCCAAACCCCCTGCCACGCTGTGCCAAAGTTAGCAGCATACTTCCGTACTTTGCAGTTTAAATCATAACACAGTTAGAAGTTCACCTATTATTTCATTGATTCATTTTCATTGTACTCTCCACAAGCTTATCTCGAGATCAACTCTTCTCTAAATTATTGCTTCTCTGAAGAGGCAGGAGGTGCCATGTGCTGCCTGGGGTACCTGTGGGGCCAGGCAGCCTATGTGGGTACAGCCAGAGGCTGCCCCTTGTCCCCAGGCCTATTGGCTCATTTTACACATCCCAGCGAAGCTGTGGCTTTTGTGGCTGAAGAAGAGGGCTCTCACCTACGAATGCTTTCCTGTGAGGACTCAGTTTGGAACAGGAAGACTTCTGAAGCAACCCAAACTTCAGGTCAGTCTGAAGAAAAAAATCTGAACTGCTTTTAGGAGCTCTTAGGAAAGGCTGACCTTTAAAAGTAAAAGTCAGCTTTAATTCCTCTCAAGTGGCACTGCGATATCTGACCTTAGCCATGCCTGGCCTCGGTGCCAGTCACAACTAGATTCCCGACTGCCCTGCAGAGCAGACAGAAGGAATACAAGATGTCCGAGAGGTATTTGTATGGACTAGCCTCGCCTAAAAAGAAGTAGCCTAGGGTTTTTTTGTAGTCATCAAGGAAAAAGATGCTCTTCCAGAGACAGATTCCAGGCAGTTGCCTTCTGAAGGACCTACTGTCTTGGGAGCGCCCGAGGGATTGGCCTTATGGGGCTAGAGTTAGAGTTTCTGAATACATCACCCCTTGTCACTTAGTCCTTTTATCTAACTGTAACTGATTTACTGGGTCTTAGCCCATTAAATAACAAAACACTGGGAAAACCTGAAATCCCCAGGAGTAGCTGCTTAGCAATGTGTGAGTAATGGCTTAGCTGGGTTTTAGTCAGGTTAATATAAAATGAGTTGAACAAAATACGTCCGAGGTGAGAAGTCAGAAATGAAAAATGAGCCAGGCTTTCCTTTTTCAGAGTGCTGTGAATTCTTCCTGTCCTTGTTGCACTGCTCTCTATTTGTGTTTTGTATCATGTGCCTGAAATTTTACATAAAGTTCCTTCTACGTGTGGAGGAAGAACCTCATTTGTCTGTGGCAGCTTCCCTCAGCTGCTGTGGATCATGTTCCACATTTACCACAAGTCAGGTCTCCATGAGCACCACATGTAGGAGCTCTGAAATACAGCTTATCACTATCTCTTTAGTCATAAACCCTCCTCTGAGGTCAGAAGAGTGAAATTTAGCAAAGAAAATAGGAGTCATCCAAGAAATGCCTTGCCTGGTTCAGCAAGCTAAATCTGTCTTCTAACAGTCCCTGTACGTACAGCTTCCCCCATCCTCACGGTGCATTGAACAGCCTCGCTGAGATTTCTCAGGTGCTCTACGCGTTAGCTACAGGCCTTTCCCCTCTCCCGCCTGCTCTGTCACTACGTGCTCAAAGTCCGTCTGCTTACTCAGGGGGCTTCTGTCTCTCTCATCACTCCAGTATCTGCACACTATAATCCTCATTTAAGAGCTGAGGGAATTATAAGGATAACGCAGCTAAGCGATTTAACCTGAGGTGAGAAGTCAGCAATGAAGCATTAATTACAGTCCTCCACAAGGTCAAATCATTATTTAACATTACTTTTGAATACCTTTATAAACAGGAGTACAAACGATGCTTTGCTACACTGCACAAACGCCCGTGCTGGATGCTTATATGACTGAAGGGAGAGCAGACAAGCAAGCAGACATCAGCGTTAGAGGATGCCCTGACTACAAGGTTAGCTCTACATGAAATAAGACCTCTGGCACCAGATAATCGAATCAAGATTTCCCAGAATGTCTCTCTGCCCTTTCAGGATGATCTTTATTAAATATATTCTGCATTGGAGCCTTCATTTCTGTTCCGTGTGGCGTATAATCTCCTAACTTTATTTACCAAGTTAACTGCATTAGAATAACACTAGCAATGGTGTAGTCTAACAGCTCTGTCAGCTTGATGCCCTCAGAAAACTGGAGTGTGGTATGATTGAGGGTTGAACCTTTGCTAGGATCCTGCAGGTCTTTGGACTTTCTGGAAACTTTGGTGACCTATTGAGATGCAGAGCTGGGGAATTAATTCCTATTTCATGCTAGTCGTGGTGCAGCTGGAATCTTAACGTATTTTTCATTTTGGAATAAAGGCTTTTTGACAACGATATAGACAATATGTTAAAGATGGGCTCACATGAACTTAAACTGGCTGTTTCTTTAAAGACATCATGTTCTATATCAAAGAAAAGCTAAACAAAGCAGTCAGGACAAATTCTTCCTTTCCCCATGTGTCTGCATGTGTTGAAAGAGGAAGCAGTATTCTGAGAAGAGTCTTTCCCTCTCCTCTCACGTGATAGTAAATTGGTATTTGCAAAGACATAAGGGGAAACGCTTCCTCTTTTCAACCGGGGGAAGCCAACCTCTCGAAATTTCAGGGACTTACGTTCTCGCACCCATTCTTCCTGCTTTAATCTAAAAAGAATGTATCTCTGAATAGCCAAGGTTATTTTTTTCTCTCCCCCAACCTGTAATGAACTGGCACAGCACATGGGACTGCCTTATCTGTGCCTTTATCATAACCTCTGAACCAGCCGATTGATTTCAGCCCCATTTGGTAGACGGTAACTTTCTGCTCTGCCACAAACATCAGCCCATGGATAGATGAAAGCAGCTCTACTGAAAGAGTGGGGAAAAGGCAGAGAAATCTCAGCCTTTTTCTCTTCTGACAGCAGCTGGCCAGCCAACTAGCACATGCACTGGTCATCTGAGCTATGCTATGTGTTTTTTGCCTTTCTGAAAGCCAAAAAAAACCCAAAACAAAACAGAAAAAGGTGCTACTGTGGAAGGAGGGTTAGGGAACGCACAGGGAGCTGAATTTTTACAGTGGAGAGGTGCACCAGACACAGGACATTGGCTTTCATTAGGATCAGAACTCACAGAGCAGGTTTGGTGAGAGGTGAAAGCACCAGTGCAACAAAATGCCTTAAAAAACCAAAATGTAAATGCTTCCCCATTTTTCCATATTCCACATTAAACCAAAATATGATGAAAATCAAAAAGTACAGATAAAACGTGTGCAGATTACGTACAGCTGAGTGGTACAAAGAATCAATGCCTGTTCTCCTTATGTTTCCTTCCTGCAACAGTTCCCAAGAAGTGAATGTTTATGCATTAATTAACAAACCTCAAAACTATAGCCAAAAATTTTGCAATTCCCACATCAAGTTATGATTTACAGACAACTCCACTCACGGCAAGTTACTTTTGCTGACAGAATTTAATTTTTCACTCTTATTTTGATGTAATAACACACACAAAATAATTTGTGTCACTCAAAATTAGCGCGCAGTGCAAAGGTCGCACTTTATGCCCCGATGTTGGTGCGGACATAGCCTTCGTATGCACAAACAGCACTACGCAGGCCAGATTGTATTATGTAGCACGGGAGTCACATCAACCTGGATTTACTTTTTTTGAATTGACAATATGTATCAGTAGATATATAAGATGAACCTACCTTTTAACTCCCACTTTAGCAGCGAAGTTTTCCACAGACTTCAGCGGACTCTGGATTAGGTAGGCAAAATTTAATCAGCCATAGAAACTGCAGGGCAGAGGCTCAGGGGACTGAGCAATACCTGAACACAGAGGGCTATCTGGCAGTGCACTGGTACGTTCCCATTATCCTTAGCGGTGAAGTACGAGCAATACCTTGCAATGCAAAACACACTGAATATCTGTGTTTGGTTTATTCATACCAAGTTCATACCGTCATAATAACTTTACAATTTCACATCAGGTAAAAAAATATTCAATAGAAAGATTTTGCCACTAGGGATATCCTTAAGAAATACACACAATTTCCCATTTAAAAAAAAAAAAAAGTCAGATCAGGACTTTCTTTACAAAATAAGATTGTCTTTTACAAACCTGAGACAATATGCCATTTGGATTAGCTTTTGCAATAAATAGTTCATCAAAGTTACATTAACTACTATTATATATATATATATATATTTGCTTTTAAAATGAATGTCATAATACAGTCCTAGGTATTGCTACAAATTAACAGTGAGCCACTACGAACAGTGGCAAAAATTACCTATCATTTAATTCCTCATTTATAGTTGTGTCTTGTGCTTTGAAAAAAATAAGATGACTCTGTCAACAAGTCTGTGTACACATCTTCGTATATGAATTTTTACTGTCTTAAGAATGCAGCAATAAGAAGATAAACTCAACAGCCCATTTGCTTTTCTTTTGGTCCGAGTGAAGCATGAGGAGTGCATTTAGGCCTTTTCTGAAGCTGGTAGTATTCTTTAATCAGAATCTTGTTCAGAGTCCTGAAGGTGCTCTGTGGTCTTGCTGGCCTCATCCCCTGTCTCATCACTTTGATTTCTGGATTCTTCTGAAATGACAGTTAGCTTGTCATAAAAGAGATGTTCTTCTTGTGGGAGTGGAGAAAAAAACTGCGAACCACTGGGAGGCTTGCTCAAAAACTGTGAGGGA